TAGTTGCTCCGTGGCATGTGGGATCTTCCCAGACCACAGCTCGAACCCGTGTCCCCTGGGTTAGCAGGCAGTTTCTTAACCACTGTGCCACCAGGGAAGTCCCCTCCTGCTTATTTCTAACTCAATTACTCCCACAGCAGTTGAAAACAAGGACTGTCCATTAGCTACAGGAGACTTTCCTCTCCCTATAATTTGAGTGCCCCCTACATACTCTATTATTTGAAGGCACAGAAAATAGGTCATTCCACACTAGATCTAAGAATCTTTTCAGGGACTTCCCTGGTGGTGCCGTGGTTAAGATTCCACCTTCCAAGGCAGGGGACACGGGGCCGGGAAGATCCCACATGCAGCGGAGCAACTAAGCTCGTGCACCACAACTACTGAGTCTGCGTGCCACAACAACTGAAGCCTGTGCGCCTAGAGCCCGTGCTCCACAACAAGAGAAGCCACCGCAATGAGAAGCCCGCGCACCACAACGAAGACTGGCATCCGCTCACCGCAATTAGAGAAAGCCCGTGCGCAGCAACGAAGACCCAATGCAGCCAAAAATAAATAAAAAATAATAATAATAAAAGAATCTCTGCAACACTCTCCTTATGGGTGCCCCATGCGTGCCTTCACCCCTCCCAGTGATGTACTTCTTGTGACCAGTCCTCAAAACCCATGCTTCCAGAGGGATACAAGGGTACTTAGGAAGGAGCAAAAAGAGGGAGAGGGAAAGGGGTTTAGGGGCAGCAGAAGAGAAAAGATTTGCAGAGAGAAGCTGAGGAATCTTCCCGCATGATTCATTTGGCCAGGTAAAAAGCATTCTATATCTATGCAGAAAGCAGATAAGCTACAACATGAAGAACAGGGCTAAATTCCATGGAGTTCCTTGAAATGATCCAAACAAAATAGAACCCCAAAACACCTAGAAATCAAGACAATGAAGGAAGTTTAGGCATTCCCTTCCCTGAAAAGAAAACTTGTTGAAAAGATGAAAAGATCCAAAAGAAAATGCAAGAGGGAGCCCATTTCTGCATGTACACTTCATTTCTTTGGTTATTTCCCCACCTTTTCCTCAGGTTTATAAGTTCTCACCTTGGTCAGCTGACTATGCAATGATGACTTCTGGGCAGCTATATGAGGAAACCAAGTCTTTAACATTCCTTCTACCTGTAGCAGGGTTCCTAGATAACGCTCTCTGTGGGGAGGAAAAAAAAAAGCCATTAGGTGTGAAAAAAGCAACAGGACAGAACTGGAGATAGCTCCTTTTTTATGAAGCACTGAGGAAAGAATCAAGGGGACTTACCCCATCTGTGGCTTCTGCAAAACACCTACTATACGCTGTATCCTGTCCATTGCCACGCTCTGCTGGAAACTGCTCAATCCTGGGGTCAGGAAAGAGAAAGAGAGATCAAGGATTGAGATTCAAGAATTTAATCAGGTAAAGGAAAGACAGAAGGGGTTAAAATGGATTCACCTAAAGAAACTGTCACAGGAGAAAAAGCGAATCATCCAGGCCCCAAACAGACTTAAGAGAAATACACATTCAAAACATATTTTGAGAGACAGAGAGATGAATGTAGCTCAAATGAATGCAAGTAATCAGATAACTACCTCTCTCAAATCGACCCATCTTCAGTCCATTCAGTAGGTCTGTGAGAGGGGGTATGAATCCTCGGAGCTCTTTACACTGTAGAAAAACAAGACAGGGTATGAGAAGACCAAGAACTGCCCACACCAGTACTTATTCTTCCATCTCCCAATCTGAGAGCCAATACTATCCTCATGGGGTCCTTACCAACCAACTGGGTGCTAAGCCACTTGGTCGTTATCTCCTTTCCCCAGCTTTCTCTTACCTTCTTAGCAAAAAGCAGGTCTCCTTCTGTGGTACAACCCTGGATGTTTAGACTCGTCTCCAATTCACCACCTCTTGATCTTTTGACCCCAGATCCTGACATAGAAGAAGCCAAGCCCCGCCGTTCCGAGTGAGATGCTGTAGGTTGCTTACTGGAAACCTTGGGTCGTTGCCTGCAGCGGATAGGACCAGGGCTGGGCCGAGAACCTCCCCTCTGACCAACAGTGTCTGGCCTGGGGCCATAGGCCCACTTGTCCTCCCTCTCACTATCGGAGGGGAAGCCAGAGTCACTGTTCACTGGGGAGGTGGAAAAAGAGGAATAAAGAGAGTAGGAAGAAACGCTAGATAGAGAATCCATGGGTTCAGAAGCAGGGGCTGGAGAGCAGCTCCCGGAGTACCCAAACATCGGGACCTGCAACTGAAGAGCAAAGCGAGGGAGTTTGAAACCAGAATCTGAGTATTAGGAAATGGACTGGGAGACTAGGGTGTACTGTCTGCGATCATAATATCTCTTCCCTCCCTCTCCAATATTACGTGTCTCAGGGACAATTAAAAAAGTCATCTTCCCCGCCTCCCCTCCTCCATTCAGAACCTGGATTGCCTCTCTGGCCTCCGCAGAGCAGCCCTTAGCCTGACACAGACCCTTTTCCCTCAGTTCAGAGTAAATATAATGATTTGACACCTTTCCCCGGTTCGCCTCTTCTGGTCTCATCCTGACCCCGCAGTGAGCCTCTCTACCTGAGATCACGCCACCGGCAAGCCGGAAATCTGCGGCACCCGAACCCACCTAGGGACCCGGCAGCAACCTCCCTCCTCTTGCCAATCTTTCTGATCAGGATCCCTGCGCCGGACCATCTCCAGTCGCGCCTGCCACGTGATGCGATCCCTCGCAATACCAATATCCGCGTTGAGTCCCTAAGCCCACTCCCACCGGGTATGATCCTTCTGCGCCGATCGCTCCCTGACCTGAGTCTCCTCACCTGTGTCGGTCGGCTCAGCCCAGGCTGTCTCCAGCTCCTACTCCGACTGTCGGGTCAGGGCTACCCACCTCCGCCTCCCTCCCACTGGGTCCCGCCCCTTCCCCCTCCCAGACACGTGCAGCTCCGCACGTGCCTTCCCCCGGCGTACACAGACCTCGCACCCTCATTGGTTGTCTAGCCGGTGGCACGTGACTCTCGTTACTGAAGTTCACATTCCATTTGCTACACCATACAGGGGCTCGGCCAATAAAGAGGCAGTCAGGTGACGATTGGTTGGAAGGTAAGCATTCCGTGCTCCGCCCCTACATGTGGCTAGCGAGGAGGACCCGGTGATGAGAGAAGGAGGAGGATGGAAAAAGAGTGGAAAAGAAGGGAGGGGAGGAAAAGGGCGGAGCCTGTGGCTTTAAATAGGAAGGTGGTGTGCCGGAGCCGCGTAGCTGGAGTGTGCAGACTGGTTGTGTGACCTAAGGAGTGAGCCTTGAGATGTGGGACTCTTGGCTCTTCCTTGGGAACCGACCCCTCTGCCCGCTCTTTCAGCGCCTCCGCTCACGAGTGCAGCACGTGGAAACGATCAGGGACTTGCGTCTGCACCGTGTGTGAGAGAATGGATGTGTGCCACTATGTATACTCTCCCCCTCTCGGCAGCCCAGCTCTCGTGACTTCCCGGTCTCTGTTTCACCCTCCCCTCCTCCTCCTTCTCCTACAAGTTGGGTGCCTCCTGCCCTGCTGGGTGAGGAGGGTGGGGATTGCTGCCGAGAACACCGCGTCCTCTCCCCGGCTCCCGCTGGGGCGGCTCCACCAGCCCTTTCCTTATGTAACCCGCCACGCACGTTACCAGCTCAGATGCCAGCCCGCCACGACTCCAGAGGTCAAAGCCCCGCTGGGTTGCTCCTGACTTTTCTACCCCGGTTCCCCGGGCCCTGAGCCCTTAGTTCTGTGTTTCTTAGCACAAGAAAAGGAGAGTGGGTAGGTCTCTGATCTCCTAGATTATTTACTTGTCCAGATTCAGTTTCTTCATTTGTCCTCTGGAGAAGATTTGAAGGACGGAGGGTGGCAAGTCCGGAGTTTACTATTCACTGGCCCTTGCAGTGCTTTGTTTTGTTTTGTTTGTTTGTTTTCTTTTGCTGTGCCGGGAGGCTTGTGGGATCTCAGTTCCCCAACGAGGAATTGAATCCGGGTGACCGCAGCGAAAGCCCGGAGTGCTAACCAGTAGGCCACCGGGGAACTCCCCCTTGCAGTATTGAGAGCACAGTGGAGAGAAGGGGACAGGACCCAGGGACTGTGGGCTGATTGAAGCTATAACATCGAAGAGGCCGCAAGGGGGCAGCCCAGTTCGTATTAGGGTCGAAGGATAAAAGGACAAAAAATTTTTTTCTTTTTAAAGTTTGTCCCTGGGCTTCCCTGGTGACGCAGTGGTTAAGAATCCAACTGCCGATGCAGGGGACACAGGTTCGAGCCCTGGTCGAGGAAGATCCCACGTGCTGCGGAGCAACTAAGCCCATGTGCCACAACTATTGAGCCTGCACTCTAGAGCCCGCAAGCCACAACTACTGAAGCCCACGCGTCTAGAGCCCGTGCACCACAACAAGAGAAGCCACTGCTATGAGAAGCCCGCGCACCGTAACCAAGAATAGCCCCCGCTCGCCGCAACTACAGAAAGCCTGCAGCAACAAAGACCCAAAGCAGCCAAAAATAAATAAATAAATTTATAAAAAGAAAAAAAACAGTCTGTCCTCGAATGCCTTAATTACTAACTGAAAAGGTACATAGGGGCTGGAGGGGGGAGATAAGGGGAGGAGGGTGTGAATTTTAAAAATCTATTCTAAGTTGTTTTTGATATTTTACGTATGTTTAACAATGTGCTTATTTTATAAAAAGGAAAAAAGGGTTCCACTTCAACTTCAACTTTCTTTCTCCAGACATACTGTCTCAACACCATATATGATAAAGCAAAACAGTAGAATTAGAGGGAATTATGGGCTGTGAATAAACCTTTTGTTTGTGGGTGTTTTTCTCCATTCTTCCCAAAATTTCAGGGTTTAGTTTTTCGCAGCCCTAATAATTCCCTCTAACTCTGCTGTCGCCTAACTCCCTTTCTAATCTACCCTTTCCACACCTATATCCTGGTGCTCTCTTCAGTGTTGCAGCTTTAGAACTGACCCTCATAAAGGAGTAGAGAGTAACCAGATTACTTCATTTATTTATTTAATCTTCCACTCTCCTCTTCCCAAATCCCCATCCAATGAGTCGTAGCAGCCTTCCCTCTCCTAAAAAAAAAAAAAAAAAAAAAAAAAAAAACAACGAAGAAAGGGAAAAACAAAAAAACAGGGTCAGGGGACTCAGGAAGCCCCTCCCACCTCTATGGAAACCCCCCAGATTTCTTATTTTGAGCTAGATTTCCCCATGACATCCACTACATGTGTCCCCCTCCCCTCTTCACTCCTTCCTTCTGCTAAACCCCTTCATACCCATAGTTATTTAGATTACCAACTTAAATTCCTTCCCTATAATACAGGTTTCTCTTCCTTCCCCCTTTCCACCATCTCTCCCCTACGTTAGGGAACCACCCCCACTTCTGCCTCTTGACTCTGCCAGGTTGTAGGGCCCCTCCCATTTTGCCCTCTAGCACCTGAAGAGCCTTAAACCAGGCCAGGCTGGAACCAGCTTTGATTCCTCAAGGCAGACTGGAAACCTGGAGAAGTTTCTTCTCCATTCCACCTGCTTCTGCTCTAGGAGGTCCTGAAATCCTCCCAGTTCAGAAAAAGTAATGACTCTTATGACAAAGGCCTTTGCCTCAACATCTCCTAAACCTCCTTAAAGTTAGATAAGATTTTTCTATATGTGATCCCTCTTCAAGCAGCTCAGAGAGAATTGACCAGGCTGGAAACACTAGCCAGAGCATACTGGTAAAATTGCTTCACAGACTCCCCCAAGGCCAATGGCTGCACTCTCACCTTCTACATGAAATACATCCCCCCCTGAACGAGGGCCCAGGACAGGAGGAGTGCACCAGGACTCTGCAGACTGGATACAGCATTGTTCAGATCTGGACTCTGCTAAAATACAGACATCCCCTCATAGTAGGCTAGTGTCACCCTTCCTACTGCCCACCTCCCACTCTGGAAGGATAACCATCTCTTTACAACAATCTCTGTCTTCTTTCCTCTGAGCTTAGAGAAAGATCTAGCCCTCCTCCCCATCACTATAAGAAGTCCTTTCCTCTGTGCCTTTCAGCCATTCCTGACCATACCAGGGAGACCTGACTCAATTCAATGAGATGTTTTTTGTTTTGTTTTTTAAGCTCTGTGCATGACACTATGCTAGTCGCTGCGCTAGGTGCCATAGGGGGGACATAAATATAATTAAGACAGTGGTTCTGTCCTCACAGAGTTTACAATCTAAAGGGAGCCTCCTATACACTTTAAAATATTTATCTGTCCTTGTCAAGCATCAGCTTTTCATTTCTACTAATTCTTCCCATCTGTGTTCAACTATATTCAGACTGCACTTTAATCCTGTTGCCCTTTCTAGCTGTTGCTTCTCTTTTTGCATTACCACATTTCTCAGATGGTTGGTCTATCCTCTCCCTCCATTTCCTCACAATGTATTCCCGCTCTAACACCACAAAATCTAGCTTTTGCTACATCCACTCAGTTAAAACTGCTTTCTCTGTGATTATCAATCACCTCCTTCTCCTTGGCCTCTTGGTAGCTTTTGATTGATTGTATTAAGCTTTCTCTTCTAGACTTTAAAATACAAATTTGGCTATCTGCCTACCTCTCCAATCAGTTCGTCTCCATTTCCTTTTTTGATTCCTCTTCTACTAACTACCGGCAGAGTCATTGGCCTTTTGGTCTTCTCTGTGTACTGGCTCTAATGAGCTCTACTTTTGTGACTGTGACTTGGCACTTAGAACTGTAGCACTGACTTAATTCAGCTACCTTTACGACACCCTCATAGGGCTGTCATTGTAAATTCAGCTTGGCCAATACCAAATTTATAACTTCACTCCTAAATCACTCTAATCTCCCACAGTTCCCATTTTGGTCAACCGTTTTCCCAGATATCCATGTTTAAAACTTTTAAGTTATTTAAACTCTCTCCTCATTTATTGCCCATATGAAATTATCACTGGAGCAAGCAAGGCATTTTCTTCAAAATGTTTCTTATTTTTCTCCTCTCCATTCAAAATGCCACTTCTCTAAGTCCAGACCTTTAATGGATTGTTTCTGGAATGATGCAAATCTCATGAGTCTCTCTCCACTCCACTGCGTCCTTCATACAACCAGATAAATCATTTTTCAAAAATACCACTTTTATTGTGTGTTTACCACACTGAAGAACTTACTAGGCTCCCTATTGCTTATAAGTCTGAACCTTCCCTGATACTTCAGACTCTGTAATTTGGCCCTATCTTCCCATATGTGAGATTACCAAGCAAATATTTGGAGCATTGTAAATTTTATTTCTTAATTTCCCACTGTTCCTTTCCATATACCCTCTCCTTCAGTCATACTCCATCCACTAAACATACCCTGATTGCTCTATCCCCCTTGTCTATGCAGCTCTTTCACTCTTGGAATAACTATTCTTCCCCCTAATTGCTTTCATCCTTTCATAACTTCCTGCCAATCAAAAGCTCACCTATTCTTCAAAGTGTATTTCAAGCATAATTACCTCCTAAAAGCCCTCCAGACAACTTCAGCCTGTGCTAGTCTCTCTCCTTCCACAGCCTAAAGCACTTGTTTGTCATATGCTGTCAAATGTATGTGCAATTTAACATTGTTACAAATCTTTTCATTTTGTTTTAAATGTTTCATAAGTGTAAACTTGAGTTTTATGAATACTTTGAGGACAGTAACAACATCACAGATTTCTTTTTTATCATCATAATCAGCAACAGCAGCTTAAGGCATAGGTTACTTAAACATTAAATACTATTCAACTGAAATTTAACTGCACCAAATCTTCCCAGTGTTCTGTATATGGGTTAGTATTAAATCTCAGTGAAAGAAATGATGGCCAAGCTGAGATGAACACCTGCATTGTAGTACTAGTTATTTGGCTCCCCCATCCACCAAAGCCTCCCTCTGCTGCATGTCACTAGCTCTGGGATCTATCCAGGGTAAGGGTTGTCTGTCTCCCCCCACCCCCGCCCCCGCTTATCCCCAATCCACTCACTGTTTCCATTGTCATTGGTTTCTCTGTTACAGGCTTCTGATGGTCTGCAGGGTCTGTTTCATGACTAGTGGTAGTCTCTACTGCTTCCATTACCTCCTTATCCCACTTGTTCTGCCCTCAGTAGGATTAGGAAACACAGAGTTATCACTGCCTCCATGCAACATCCTCATAGATTTTCTATTTAGAGTTCTTTTCTCCTTCACCACCTCTTCTCCCCCCTTCCCATCCCCCAAGACGTAAACTCAGGGACCTTCCCTACTTCATGTTTGCATGGATTATATACCCATCCCATTCACCATTTCCCTTGACTCAAGGATTGTTCCTCCCTTTCAGTGTCTTAGCAAACCTACTGCATTCTGGCTTCATCCCCAGCTTTGGTTAACAAATTTGTTTTGGGCTGACTACCTAGTTTCACTTCACCTAACTAATTTTTATTCCTGTTCATCGTTTACATTTCAACAATGGCCAGTTTCTTTTTAACTGTTACCTATTCTGATCCTCCTAGAGGGTCATGTAGATATCACTCACCAGCCTGTTCTCTGACTCAAACATAGAGTAATCAACAGTGAAGTTTGCACCAAAGTCATCTGGAGAGGAGAAAAGAAATGAGTAGTAACAAAGGTAGCACTAGATCTGGAAATGAGAAGAGGAAGAAATTGTTCAGAATACTTCAATTTGCTCAAGTTGTAAAATTTACTGGTATAATTCTAATGAACTTTTGATGTTCAAACGTTTGTGAATGTGTATGCACTTATATTTTCAATCTGGTGTCTAAAATCATGTACAAATTTGAAAAATTTCAAGTTGTTTCAACCAATTTGTAAAGGATTGAAAATCACTAGTTTGAGACACAACATCATGAGTTTGATAGTCTTTGGTCATAGCCACATTTCTCTCTGACCTAGTTATACCGTTGTGAAGGAAAAGTCAAAGTGTCAGAACTGAGCATCTCCCAAACCTCTCTCCATCCTGCGAAGGGTCAGAACCTTATACATACTCACCATAGTTGGGGGTGACTGTGTAATAATAGACCACCTGATAATAGTCATCCTCTTCCAGTCCTTCTTCATCCTCATATTCTTGTCCTAGGGGGACAAGGACTAGAGGTCAGGGGGCATCTGGAACTCCTTAGCAATAGAAGGACACCTGACGTTGACCTCAGCTCTATCAGTTTCCTTTCCTTCTGCCTCCACTCTACTATCTCCCTGCCTCTGTACCTCTAAACCTTTCTCAGTCTTCTGGGCTCCATAACTCTGATGAGACCTGTTACACTGTGCCCTTTCAATCCGGGAACTCCCAGAAGAGAAAACGGGTCCCTTCACACACTGTAACCCAAACTAAGCCTTAAAAAGGTAGGAAGCAGAGAGACACCAGAAATTAAGACCTCCAAATCCACTCCTCAGTATGCTCTAGACCTACTGTATTTGTGAGAGATGTTCTCTTATCAGTGTCTCCCACAACTAACACACACACACAGCCTCTTGGACTTGGGCTTTAGTTCCAGTTTCAATGCTAACTAGTAGAATATCTCTGAACAAGCCAGTTAACATCCGCTTTCTTAAAATGAGTCAGCTGGACTAAATGATCCATCTGCATTAGTTTTTTCTTCTTTTCCAGGATTAAAAATATGTGGCTTGGACTTGATTGGCTCAGGAATTCTAGGCCTTCTGCTAAATATTTCCCTAAGCTCCTTGAATGCTCTCTCTTAACCCCAAGCAATGACACAGAGTCTGGAGGAAAAGGAAACAATGAGAGCACCTGGCAGACTGGGAACAAAGGAGGGAAGGAGCCAAGCTACTTTTGGGACCTTGTCCCTGAAGGCAGACAGTACTCACTACCCTAAAAGCCACCCCTTCTGTGTCTTTACTAATACAAAGTTTTTCTCCAACTCGCTGGGAAAGAAGATACCCTGGCTTCCCTCGCTAGTTACAGACTGCCCCACCTTCAAAGAGTCCACCTCTCTCCACTCTCACTTTAGTCCTTCTCATCTTGTTCAACTCTGTGGTGATGGCGAGCTGAGCTCACTCTTGTTAGGACCTCCCCATGGCTGGGGCTCCATCCCCATCAGCCGTCTCTTCTTTGACAGGACTATGCTCTCCTCCCCTTTTCCTGGCCCTAATTTCCAAGTTCCCCCTCTGCTCCTGACATCTAACACAGTTGAGAAAGTGTTATCACTCCTTATTGAACTGCACCTCCCGCCCTCTCCTCATTTTCTTTTCTCCCCCCACCCCCCATTTATGGTAGAAGACCTGGCTCAAAAGCTCAGGGAGAGACGTGTACTTACCCAGGATGAGTGGCACAGCAAGGATGGCTACAAAGAGGACATCCATTCTGGATTCTGCACTGGTGCCTTGAAAGTAAAAAAGGAAATTACAGCGTTTCCCACCAAACTTACCCCGCCTTCTGCCCTCCTCCAAAGCAGGGAAGGAGCTGCAGCAATCCTTCTCCCAGGGGGGGAATTCCCCGCCCACTTGCTTACTGACTGGGTCATCAGTTACTACCAGTGCGGTCCTCAGCCACAGCTGCCCAGATCAAGAGAGGCAAAGTGAACTTTGATGGAAACATGTTCATCGAGACCCTCTGGCTCTAGACTAGATCCATTCAGGCCTCCTGCTGCCACTTCCAGAAAAACAAAACAAACAAACCAACCCACAAAAAAAACCCCCAAAACCCAAACCAAACAACAACAAAACCCCCAGCCTACCAAGGAGTTTCCCCCCTCCCCTACTTTCCTTCCTTGTTCCCAGTCCTCACAAAAAGCTCACTCTCCCTCTCCCTGTCCCTAACTTACTATCACTATCCAGAGCTGCCCTTCTCTCTGAGGCTTATTCACAATCTCTTTCTTCACAGTCAAAATATTCTTAGGAAGGGATGAGCATTTTTTCTAGACTGAAAATAGTCTCCCTTCTCTGAGTGTCTCGGACTATGAAGTATGGGAACAATATCAACATCATTGTCTGACTCTCCAAGCACCTGCTGCATTGCTTCTGATTTCAAAAAAAAAAAAACAACTTTCAGTCAAGACTAGTTACTTCCTCTCTGCTAAGTACTGATCTCACCTCACCTCTTTCTCAACTTTCTGCACACAGGATGGGAAAAGGGAGGAAGCAGGTAGTCTCTTTCCCTGCTGTATATGCCACACCCCTTCTCCCACTTTCAGTCACTTGGCATGTTCCCTTCATTCTAGCCTACAGGGGTGGAGTTCATCTTATCCTTCTCTCTGCTTTTATATTTCCCATTTTCATTCAATTCAATTTAGAAACATCAAACATAATGTATGTGCTAGGCACAGTGTGCTAGGCCTAGTCTGATAGGCAATTCAGGGTTCAGAGGCAAGGGAATAAGAAAAGAATGCAGGTATTTTTTTTTTTAAGGGAGTTAATAAACATCCATTCAACATCTATGAGTCAGACACTATGCAAGTCTCTGTGGAACTACCAATGAACAAGATAGGTTTGATTCCCGTTCTTAAGTCAGCAAATGATGTGGTAACAGCTCAAAGGAGAGATGAGAAGAGTTGTCTTATCCCTGTCTCTTCTGGATTGCTATGCTCAGAAGCAAGACAATAGAGTCTTGAGCACTGGCCAGGATGGTCCCACCCTCTTAACCTTATTGGGGGAGGATCTGCATGGTGACTTCTCACGTACATCTATATAATCTATTCCTTCAGCTCCTTTCCAGAATTTCCTGGAAAAAAAATGTAAAACTCTTATGTGGATGTACATCTATGCATTGCCATAAATCATTTCCAGGAAGGAAAGTAAGCCTGGTTCTCTCTGAAGAATTTCTATAGTTTTTTTGGGTACTTTGATTACTCTCTCAAGAACAATATTCCAGTTTCCCTCACTTTCCCATCCTGGTACTCTTTTTCCCAAACATCCTCCCTAAGGACTAATCCCACCTGCATCCCAATGAGGATACAATCCCCTCTTCTCATACTTTAACTTTCTTTCGCTCTAATATGCATCCCCTGAGCCTTCCCTTCCCCCAGCCTGAGGAAAAGACACCACTGAGGTTCATTTTCAAAGAATAAATGGAGGAAGTATGACATAAAAGGAACTTGGCGGGGTAGTGGTGGTGGGGTGTCATTTTCCAACTCCATAGCTCGAATTGCTTTTTACAAACAACTTTAACTCCCGATTTTAACTCAAAATCCCCTCTAACCTTCCTAACATTGCTCTCCAGGCTCCTTTTACTTCCCTCTGATTCTCTTGTCATTACGGATGAAGGCTTCATTAGTGATACACTGTATTGCATGCTTCCTATACTGGCCTGTTCAAAGGGCTCCTACTTTTAAGTGTAACCTTCATCTCTTAGGCAGTAGCTCTAGCTCATTTCCTCTCATTCAAGTAAGAACAATACCCGTCCCTATCTCCCTGCACCCTCTATCCTGTGCTTTCTTTGTATTTGTCCTTTAGGTTCCAACAGGATCTTCCCCCCTCTGCAGCTCTTCAAGAAGCGTAGAATTGCTACCACCCTGCCCCATAAAATACCGAAAGGGAACAGCGACCAAAGTCGAACCGAACCCAGGAAACTGGGCTCGGGCCCAGCCCACTGGTTTAACCGTCTGGAGCCACTCCCAGGGCCGAGGTCCAGGAGGAGGGCAGGACTACAACTCCCAGCACGTCGTGAAGCCACGCCCCCGCCCCCGCAGCTCCGCCCCCGCGGGTTCTCCATTGGCCTCCAGGGGGTGGGGATTAGATGGGAGGTGGCCATGGGGCCGTGGCAGGGGTTTGTACCCTCCTCGGCTTCCGTAGAGGAAGTCGCGCCGACCTGTATCTGGGGTTTCGGTGTCCCCGCCTTCCCGGGGGTCCGGGGTGACATTGCACCGCGCCCCTCACGGGGTCGCGTCGCCACCCCACGCGGACTCCCTGGCTGGCGTGCTTCATCCCTTCGCCTCTCTTGGCCGGGCCCCCACCTCGCCCCCAGCTGCCCAGCCATGGGGGCCGCAGTGTTTTTCGGATGCACTTTCGTCGCTTTCGGCCCGGCCTTTGCGCTTTTCTTGATCACTGTGGCAGGAGACCCGCTTCGCGTCATCATCTTGGTCGCCGGGTGAGTTAAGGGGTTGGGGAGACGCGGGAGGACGCCGAAGAGAGAGATCCGAAAGGGGCTGGAGGAACTGGGGCGAGCCTGGGAGCCTGAGAGGGGGAGACAAGTTGGAGGTGAAGATTGGAGAGGGTCGAGTCAGGGATCTGGGTGATTCGCCCTTTCCCGCAGTTGGTTTCCGCCTTCCAGAGATCGCACAGATTCCTCCTATACTCCCCCTGCGACGTCCGAGGAGGCCCAAGGCGAAGACTTGGAAGGGGGCTGTGCTGACCACGGCCGGCCCTAAGGGTGTATCCAGGAATGGATACCTCGCCCTCCTGTCCTCCTACACTCTGGCTCTCATCACTCTGAAGACTCTTTAATCAGATTTCTTACCCTTTCCCTGCGTTCAGATCCCTTCAAACTCCCTTGGTGGAGACACCTATCCTATCTCCTCCCTGTCTCCCTGGACAATCCGGAAGTCTAACTTCCACTTTTTATGCTGCAGCCTTGGTTGGTTCCCCTCTTTGATTTCCCTGGTTGCCCCCTACCCTTGCTTGTCTGATTGCCTTTGTCCTTCCTCAGGGCATTTTTCTGGCTGGTCTCCCTGCTCTTGGCCTCTGTGGTCTGGTTCATCTTGGTCCATGTGACCGACCGGTCGGATGCCCGACTCCAGTATGGCCTCCTGATTTTTGGTGCTGCAGTCTCTGTCCTTCTACAGGAGGTGTTCCGCTTTGCATACTACAAGCTGCTTAAGTAAGAAGATGGGGTGGTCTGGAGGGGAGAAGGGCAGAGGACTGAACTATAAGTGGGGCAGCCCTGGGTGGTGGTTTGGACAAGGAGGTACTAAGGGAAGATATTAGAGGGGAAGGCGATTCCTGCCCTCCCTCATGTTTCCCCTATCCCACCCACCCCACCCCAGGAAGGCAGATGAGGGGTTAGCATCGCTGAGTGAGGACGGAAGATCGCCCATCTCCATCCGCCAGATGGCCTATGGTGAGCCAAGGGAGAGGGACTGGAGGAGGGAGTTGGACACTCCTCTCTCCCAGGGAAGTCTCTAAACATCCACATGTCCTAAGCGGCTTCTTGTTTTTCTTCATACCTGACTTCCAAGGAGAGGTGGTCTGGAGGGAGAGTAGGTGTGGGGGAACTGTGACTGGGAATGGGGAGGGATCACTGGTAATAAGGCTATAGTGATCTTTGACATTGATGAAACCCTCCCTCCCCCCAGTTTCTGGTCTTTCCTTCGGTATCATCAGTGGTGTCTTCTCTGTTATCAATATTTTGGCCGATGCACTTGGGCCAGGTGTGGTTGGGATCCATGGAGACTCACCCTATTACTTCTTGACTTCAGGTAAGATCCACTTTCTTTCTTGCCTCCATGCCCCATTCATCCCTGACCCTGATTTGATTTATTGGCCTTCCCTGGGAGACTTCTTTGGCTCAACATCTCAGGAGGCTGGGAGAAGATGAGGGATGTATCTCATCCCCATCTCCCTCCCTGCAGCCTTTCTGACAGCAGCCATTATCCTGCTCCATACCTTTTGGGGAGTTGTGTTCTTTGATGCCTGTGAGAGGAGACGGTACTGGGCTTTGGGCCTGGTGGTTGGGAGTCACCTACTGACATCGGGACTGGTGAGTTGGGGACAGGGGCCTGAGTTAGAGAGAAAAGAACTTAATGGTGAGTGGGATGGAGGGGAAATATATTCTCACTTCTTAACATTTAAAAACTTATCTTGGGAGGAGGCAGAAAGGTGAGTCTTTAGACGTCTCTTACCTCAGCATCAGTTGTATAACCTGCTCTGGGGATGCTCTAGGGAGGAGTTTGAATGGATTAGTCAAACTAATGCAGATGGCCTGAGGTGAGCAGGAGTGGCAGAAACCTCTGAGGGGGCTGAAAAATCACAAATGCCCTTAACTGCGAGATATCGGTGTTCTGAAGGACTGGGAGATTCGAGTGAGATATCTGGGGGAGATTTGGGTCAAAGGCACAAAGAGAATATGGGGATTAGAGGAAGAATCTAACCTCTTTTCTACTCTTTCCCCCATCCCCAGACATTCCTGAACCCCTGGTACGAGGCCAGCCTGCTGCCCATCTATGCAGTCACTGTTTCCATGGGGCTCTGGGCCTTCATCACAGCTGGAGGGTCCTTCCGAAGTATCCAGCGCAGTCTCTCGTGTAAGGACTGACTACCTGGACTGATCGCCTGACAGATCCCACCTGCCTGCCCACTGCCCGTGACTGAGCCCAGCCCTAGCCCGGGTCCATTGCCCACCATACTGTGTCTCCTCGTCGGTCTATTCCACCACCTTCAGGGTTTTGCTTTGTCCACTCATGACCTTTAGTCTCTAGGCTTTACCAGGAGCAGTCTGGGTTCAGCCAGTCAGTGACTGGTGGGTTTGAATCTGCACTTATCCCCACCATCTGGGGACCCCCCCCTTGTTGTCCAGGACTCCCCATGTGTCAGTGCTCTGCTCTCACCCTGCCCAAGACTCACCCCCATTCCCCTCTGCAGGCCGACGGCAGGAGGACAGTCGGGTGATGGTGTATTCTGCCCTGCGCATCCCACCCGAGGACTGAGGGAACCTTGGGAGGGACCCCTGGGCCTGGGGTGCCCTCCTGATCTCCTCGCCCTGTATTTCTCCATCTCCTGTTCTGGACAGAGCAGGTTGCCAAGAAAAGGGACCTAGTTTAGCCATTGCTGTGGAGATGAAGTCAACTGGAGGTTCAAGGGTAGACGAGCTCTGAGTTTCCCAGTACCCCCTCCCCAGACTGGATATCTTAAGTCTTTTTCTCAGGTCTGAGGGGAACCATTTCTGGTGTGATAAAGACCCCCAAATTGCCTTTTTCTTTTGAAGCGGGAGGAGGGAGGAAGTATGTGTTAATTCTTCTCCTAACCTCCTTGGACTATATTTTCCCTCCTCAAATTGCTCCTTATGGCTGGGCTTATATCTATCCAGCTTTCCCCTTGGTCCCAGGCTTTGGGGGAAAGGAAGGAAGTGCATGTTTGGGAACTGGTATTACTGGAACCAATGTTTCAACCTCCTTGACCACCAGCATCCCTCCTCTCCCCAAGGTGAACTGGAGGGTGCTGCGGGGAGCTGGCCCACTCCAGAGCTGCAGTGCCACTGGGGGAGTCAGCCTACCGTGACATCGCAGGGAAGGAGGGCAGATTTTTTTTCTAGTTTTTAATTGGGGGATGTGGGGGGGCGGGGAGGTTTTCTATAAACTGTATCATTTTCTGCTGAGGATGGCATATCCCATCCTTTTAATCAAGGTGATTGTGATTTTGACCAATAAAAAGGACTTTATAATTGTGGGGGAACTTGGCTTTAAAAGGAGGGGATAACATGTTGATTGAGGTTTCTGCCCTCTCATGTCTCTTTTCCAACCTCCCTCCTAACCTGGCAACCTCTGGTTCCCTCCAAGCATAGCTTTGATACAAGGGCAGAAATCTGGGCTGGGGGTCTAACATGTCAGAAGCTCTGGGTTAAGCATTTTCCAGCAGTGGATCTCCCCTTCTCCAGGATTGGGGTAAAAGGAGTTACTCACCCATTCTTCCTTTTCCATACCCTTTGCCCACCTCTGCCATCTGAGGCATTAAGGAACTCTCCCATTCTCAAGAGGCCCCAAAGTAAGGCCAGAGGCGGGGTCGGCAAATTTAATTTCCTAATATATTGAGGGAAAAAAACATAACAGCAGCAACCCTTTTTCCTAAGGGGAGATCTTGTACTATATCTAGGGACAGGGATATAAAGATGAGGTGGTGGGGGGCTTTGGGGCACATCCCCAGCTTCCCCTACAACTAAACACAGTTTACCCTCTGCATTGTCAACATAGGGCTGTCCTTATCTACAGGTTTTGAGAGGCTGAAGGTTCTGTTCTTCCTTGAATGAGAGCCTGTCCATACCTCTGTGTAGGGGCTGTCTGGAGGAAGGAGGGATGTCAGCCTACTCCTACAGTATTTTCTGGCCAGTCCCTGCACCCCACTTTAGAAGCTCCCTGATAGGCGAGGGGAAGCCATCTGTGGTGACCGGGAAGGAGTCTATGCCTCGGTGGCTCGTGCTGAGGTGAAGACCACACTTTTCCGGTTTCCCAGTCTCTTCTTCCTGAAAGGGAGAATGGTTCGTGGAAATGGCTAATGTCCTAGGCGAAACAGATTAGAGGTGGAGTAGGCGAATGCTTTTCAACGCCAAAGAAAGGACTGGAGGAATGGAGAATAGGAACTCACCGAATCTTTCTAGCAATGAAATAAACAGCCAGCAGAAGGCAGAGACAGCCAACCAGGATTCCCACTCCCAGACTCAGCATTTCACCTGGGAGAGATAAAGATGGAAGGTGTCAGCCTAAGACTAACATAGATATTGAGCTTTTCCTTAACTCACTGAGGAGACCCCTACCCTGCACTCCACCCCTCGATACATGGGTAGGCCTGTCTTACCTGTGGTATACAAGGATCCCACTGTAAGGGAAGAAAACTTGAGTCAGTGAGACTAGATCCCCACCCCAGTTGGGAGTATCACACTGTGCCAGTACTCGGGGTTGGGGCGTGGTTCCCAGTCCAAGCAAGTCCTGGAAATCCCTTCCCCTGTTAGCCTTCCTTTCCTTCCCAGGGGTTCCCTAGTTCCTGCCATTGAGTCCCCCAGTTTCCCCTCTCCTTTTTTGAGCCCTGTACAGTTACCTTGGATGAACGAAGCAAAGACCGTTCGCTGATTGAGAGGCTGGGGGGCTCGGTAGTTCTGTACCAGGAGCTTAGAGGGCTCCTCTTCCGTGGAGAACAGTGTCTCTTGAAGCTTTTCCAGCTGAGAAGTAGAAGAGTGGGATTAAGGGACAAGTGGCACTCGCTCTCGGGAGTGGGAAAGGGTTTGAGGTTACAGCTATGTCTGCTGTCTCACCTCTCCACCACTCACCTGTCCCACTGAAACTTGGGCCCTTCGACTGAAGACTGTCCAGAGCACACTCTGGTAGCAGGGCGGTGTGGTGAGCGAGCCATTGTAACGGAAGTAGTGCGCCAGCAGTGGGGGGAACAACGCTCTCAGGTTGAAGGGAGGCACTGAGGTCTTCTGATCTGGGCAAGAACAGACTAGGGCTCATCTCCCTCTCACTGCACCCTCGCTTACCTAGACAGGGCTCCCAGAAGCGAACACCCTACCCACCTCTGGCCCCAACTCACTGCCTCGTTCCAGGCCTCTCAGGCCTTTTTGAGAAATTTCCCTGAAGCCTAATTAATGTTACTTTGTCTTAAGATAGATTTTTAGGGCTCACCTTTATGCCTGATTTCATGCAAGTGACTCAGAATGTGTTCATAAGCTGGATTCTTAGTCTCACCCACCTGTATGGGGAGGAAAGGGTGAGAGAGTTCGGGATGAGTCCATGTTTGGAGTAAGACATTTGTGTATAGGATAAATAGTCAGAATGGGTTGCTGACTTGTCTTGGGAGGGCGACCAGCAACAGACATGGGCAAAATAGGACTGAGGGATGCAGAGGAAGTGGAGAGAGACCAAGGAGGGATTGGGGGCCACTGACCTCAATGAGGATGCCCAAGACAGCCAGGCCCTGAGGCTTCTGAGCAGCCTCACTTAAGCTTTCGTAGGAATCAGAATCATAATGTACGATGTGGAGCTGAGGGAGGGGAGAGGGAATTGAATCATTTAATGTTTTTCCACTACCCCCTCCCAAAAGCTTTTATCCTAGCCACCACCACCACCTCTAGCACGCCCTAAATCTGTCCCACAAAGCTTGCCCTTTTCCCCCAAGTATGACTTTTCCCAGTTTCCAGATCCTTCCTTTCCCCCGGCACCGACGGTGCCTACCACTGTGTCCTAATCCAGGCTTTGCTCCCTGGTACCTCTGCAGCTGTGGCTTCGCCATTGATCTGGTGCTCTGACCCCCCCGGGGATCCTTTCTGACCCCAGTGCAGGTGGAGCTGGGCAGCTACGTATTTTCGGGGAAGTCCTTCCAGATACAGGGTAGGGGGCAGAGAGAGTTGCACTGTGAGGGAAAG